CAAGCTACAGGGCAAACAACAGGTAGAGTTATAACTTGAAGTCACTGGTTTGGGGGGAAAGTGTGCTCCAGAAGCGTACAGGCCTCCGATCCTAGGAAAAGTTGTAGTCAGAAAAGACTCGAAGCTTCTTTGATGCTAAGTGAATGAAGTAAATGTGTATTACAGGCAATTTAAATCTTGAAATTAACTTTCTTATACAGCTTTTATGACAAGAAATATGAAGTATTTTTGAAACTTGTGGAACATCAGAGAGAGTATCGCTCCATCATGAACAGCTTCTAATCCAGAATCACGGAATCAGGGAACAGCAGAGATAATGAATTTCAGATACTTGTGATGAAGGTAATTCCTACTTACTGTACTGTCTATGTTAAAAGTATGCTTTATCATTTAAAGTGTACATCTTTATTTTTAATGAGAAATAAAATGCACTGACTTCACTCTGAAGCACTGGGTGTTTTCAGTCAGTAATCCCTGTGCCCCAAGGACAAGGAGTGATCATTTGCTCCAGCCAGAGAGGACAGGACAGCCAGCTGCAGGCACCCGGGTGCCGGTGGTTAGATTAGCCACACGCAGGAGCAGGAACACAAGAACACAAGGAGCAGCCTGACTCGCTCACAGGGACGTGAATCGCTGCCCTCTGCTGTGTCTTTCCCAGGAGCTACACCTGGCACTGCACCTGGTCCCTTTAGTTTTAGTATCTGCTGCAGGTAAGACCCAAACGTGATTTCCATTGGAAACCTCAGTTGGGTTTTGGGTTATTTTCACTCTGATTAGAGTACGCGCGAAGGGCCGCGGCCGATGCTGAAGCCCAGGCTGAGCAGCCACAGTTGCTGCAAACACCTTCCTGCTGCAGGCGTGTCCCCGCCGAGCAGCCCGCTGCCCGCAGGGGGCCAGCCCTGGCACAGCCCAGCTCCTGCCCATCTCACCAGGGCACTTCAGCCAGGCCCGGCTCCCAGCACGCCCGGCCGCACACGCAGGAGCAGGGAGCGCAGAGGAGACAGAAAGGGTTTCCCTTCCTTCAGCTCGTGTTTGTCAAGGCTCAGAAACCTTCCTGGCTGCCTGCTGGCCAAATCCATCAAAAAACAAAGGCTTTCATTTGTTCCCAGGTGATTCTGGAGGTTGCCCTGGATAGGTAGCCCTACAAGGTACTGCCTGGCTCACAGCCACAGGTTGTGGCATAACTGGGCCGTGGAAGGAGAGAGTTTGGGCACTCTGCTTGTGTACGGTAAAAATGTTTCCCCTCTGACCATACAAATTGTTTTGATCTTGCAAGATCCAAAGTCTGCCAGTGTCTGCAGTGAAATTCAGAAATTCTTTCTCTGCCACTTGTCTCTTACTTCTTAATAAAATATACTGTTCTGTTTAAAAAGCAGCAGTAGGATCTCCATCTGAAGGACTGGGTTAAGAAGCAAAGGGGTGACAGAACAGAGGTGGGTGCTCAGATCAGCTTCAGCTCTGTTGTAGGGCACTCTTCAGACTGCGAACTGCCACCCTCCTGGTGAGCCTGTATTGTGCAGGAGAAGCCACCTGCAGCCCCTTTCCAGGGAGGAGTGTTCACAGGGATGGGATTCCATCTTTATACACTTAGCTTGAGAGAAATTCCGTTCTTTAGTGTTGGCATAGGCTCTAATTCCCAGTTAAATGCAAACAGAAGTTACACAATAACAAAATTACACATAAAGAACTTGGAAAATAATAGTTTCAGGATTTTTTTTTTTTTATGTTAGTAGTCAGCACTCAAAAACATCTGGTAATTTTTTTAAAGCAACAATGTACTTCCTGCTTTGCAGTTCGTGGAAAAGCAATTGTTGCCATTTCCAAAGTACCCATTGTTAAAAGAAACAGCTTTACAAGTTCAGGGACATAATTAAAGACAATGAAAGTTGATGGGAATAAAATGAAGAACCATCATAACAAAAGGGATACAACAAGCAAGAAAACAACTGCAACATAATAGCTTACAACAAACTGTGTCAGCTGAAAACATGTAGGAGAAGACAACAGTTGAAGACCAGTGTTTGCAAACAATAAATATCCATAAATTTTAATGTATCTATTTTAATATACAATTCATATGTAAAAATGCAGTCCACTGACTCCAAATTGGTAGCAAACGTACAGGGCATCAGGGGCAGATGTGCAGGGTTTTCTGGCACTGTGCCAGCAGTTTTAACTCTCTGCAGCTCAACTCAGACGTGCACACCCCCCCAGTCCAGGCAAACTTTCCACAGACTTCCTGCTATTTGTGTCATCATCATAAAAGTGTCCTGGAACTCTCTGGCTGGGCTGGTACCAAGACTTAGAAGGAGATCACGAGGCAAGCCTAGAACAGGAGCCAATGGTTGTGCAGACTGTTGCAGCCTAGGTGCACAGGATTAGGGAGGCTGCGCTCCTTGCGTGGGCTTACATGAGAGAGCTGCTCTGAGATTTGCTCATGTTCCTTGCGTGATGTTTTAAAATGCTTTATCCCCTTGTAATACTTGTACTTTATAGTTGCATTTTAGTTCCAAGCCAGTTACTGCCAGTTTTATATTCTCCATGTTGAAATCAGGACTATACTCTTTGCAGAGCTGTAAAAAAATCTGTCCCCCAGTGGCTGTGTAATCAGCTGCAGTAACAGAAAGCCCTGATACAAGGTTCTGTAGGGGTACTGTTTAACATGTCTTGTGTTATACAGTAAATTGTACAGTTTGCTCAGTTCTCAGATTTTTCTTCAAATTGAGCTAAAATGTAAGATATTAAAGCTCAAGAGTTCTAAAACTCCAAGCGCCAGTTGACTGGCATTGTGATCTGAGCCCTGTTCGTAGCTTTAGGCATTTTCAGTTCAGGCACTGCGTGTGAAGGTAAGTTACAGAACGCAGCGTGAGGAGGCTGCCCAGCATGCTGTGTAAAACTGGCCTCCTGAGCCCCTGCACGTGGAATCGTTTGGCCATGCCACGTCTTGCTGAGTCCTGCTCCAGCCTTCTGTCACCAGCAGAATGGCACAGCCACCCTACGCAGCCCCGGGTCAGTGCCTGGGGTCTCTCAATGAAGTCTGACCAAGGACTCCAGGTGTGAGTCATTCAGGACTCTGACAGCATGCTCTGAGCTGCAGACCTTGCCATATTCACCCCACTGGATGCGATTTGCTGACAGATGTTTATCACGCAAATGAAAAGAAGGGAGACGACCACCATGTCATCAGCTGTCCCCAGCGTCCTGCAGAGAGCTCCGGCTTTTGTACCAAATGGAGGAGAGAAGCATAGGAGTGTTCCAAAGGAGCAGACAGCAACTCGTAGGAAAAATATCCATAGGAGGCCACCCCAGGTGAAGATTCCTCGCAAGGCAAGAGGCAGGAATAGCAACACGTCGTAAAGGTAATCTGCAAACTGAGCGTTCAGATGAGTTAGGCCGATTTCCACGCTAGTGCATCGTGCCGTTCCTCCAGTTTAATGTGTCTCTTAAGCACTTCTAGGTTCCCATCTCTTGAATGCAGAAACTCTCTGTGCTGCCCAATCCCAGCTATGCTCTTTGATTGTTTTGTGGTATCTAGAGTCACCCTTCTAGAAGGAACCCCACTGCCCTGGCACTTTGAAAAGGAATTGTTACGTTTGACATAGAGTTCTTTTGGAAACTGGTCTTAATGGCTGCACTGAGTACTTGCCTGGCTTTAAAATCTGGATTCAAGTGGAGGCTGTGAGTGCTTGAAAATGGAGCCTCAAGTGTCACCTTGGTGTGCACAGGAACAAGAGGACTGAGTGATTATTTCTCTTCCTTAATGCTGGTTTGCTGGGTTGAAAAGCAATAGTCTCCTCCACAGTGCCTAGTTTGGTCTGTAGGCTGAAACAGTCTCCACAGGCCTTTCCGGCCCCCTACCAGAGTGTGACAGGAGAGGAAGATTCACTTTGGTGATATTCTGTATGCTGACAAGAAAGGGCCTCACTCGTGCCTTCAGCCCTCATCTTTCAGCTCATTTCCACTGCCTGTCACACCTCTGTACCAGCTGAGATTCCAGCTTTAGGAAAGTAAAAGACCCAGTGTGGACTGTTTGGATTTGGCAACACTTGGGAAAAAAAACAGCTTTCTAAGCTGGAATCTGATTTTAATTTGAGACTATTTAACTAAGTTAAAATCTTGGAGTTCAAATTTGAGTTCATATTTGAAAGTTGCAGCCAGCCCATCTCTAGTTCTGCATTGCCTCCTGTATTTCATCCCACAGTGCTTTCTCCTCCCTGCCAGGATGGCTCCTCTGGGCTAGGAATGCAGAAAAGCACCTTTACTAGGTGCTGGACCCAGCAATGGGTGGTAACACTTCCACTAGTGTATTGCCAGTAAAGTTGCAAAACTGCAAGGAAAGGCAATTCACAGAATGGTATGAACTAGTTCTCATTGCTGGGTCTCTTACAGTCCTCTGAAAGTCCTCATATTTCAGTCCTCTGTGTGTTGCACAGTAAATAGGGATTTATGAATACTTACGGGTCGAGGTTGCCCTGAGAAACGCTTGTTGTAGTCTCTAATGTCACGTACAGTTTGTTTACTTGGCTCATCTTGTTGCTTTCCACAAGAGGTGTTATCCAGGAGAACCACCTTCACGAGAAAAGACGGGCGTTAGCAGGGTGTATCCTCATCTCCAGGATGAAGGACAGAGTTCTGTGGTACGTGTCTCTCCACAGTCTTTCCCTCACAACTGGACCTTTGTCCAGCCCTGGCAGTTCCACAATAGCAGGAACATTTTCCTTTTATAGCCTGCATCCGTCCTCCCGGGACAGTACAACAGGCAGCCTCTGACCAGGGGCAGATGAGATCAGGAACTTCCACGTTGCTCTTTATGGAATGTGATCCCAGAGATTCAATAAACTCTACACAAGGCAAATGCTGGGGGCCTGTTTAATATTTCACAGAGTTGCCTGATAGGGCACGTATCAAATGATATGTGCGAATGGCTGCAGGGTCATTCAAGTCTAAGTGGGTTTTGGAATACTGTGGAGAATTAGAGGACAAAGTTGACCCTAAGAGCTCAAGCTTGTAATTTTGTTTGTAGCCTAATGCAGATGGAGGCAAGTCTTACTTTTTGTCGGCAGAGAGGGCAGGTTATTGCTGCTAACCAAGGACTGAGTTTCCAGTATGTGATCAGACAGGAGCCTACCAAAAAAAAAAAAAAAAATTTGAGGATATTTAGTGTTTACAATGAAATGACCAGAATCTGTAAACCCTCTTTCTACAACTGGTGGTAAAAATGAACCTAATTCTTTGCGTTTATTTTAATATGTGGTTTTACTCTGCAAAGTGACTGCGTAAGAATGGAGCCGTAGCTCTTCCAGACTGGTATACACAGAGATCCGTGGCCCTCCTAATGGAGACCTGGATTCAGTTCCTTTTCCTGTGTATAGCGTCTTATTCCTGAAGCTCCCCGGACTGTGGTTGAAGCTCTCAGGAATATAGGCACCCTCCAGAACACGGTGCTGCTGGGGACAAAGCAGGACAGCTGCATAAAGGTGGAGTTCCTCCAGAGCCAGCGTGGATTTAAGGGTCAGGAACGCTGGTTGTCCCCGATAAACCAAGGTGCATAGCCAGGGGACAGCCTGGTGATGGAGCTTCTGGCAGGACAAAACACATCTTGGTGATAAACTATCCTACATTGGGCTACTTTGTCTGTTTGCTTTTTTCCCATTGTATTACTGTATTTTAACTCTGGCACACATGAGTGAGTGGCTTCATTCTTTTTGAGTCTTCTTACCCAGACAACTGCTAACTAATTTCCAAACACGTCATCTCTTCTCTGTCTTAAAGGTCCTTTCTGACCATAGTGATTCTGTGTGACTGTGTGGTTCTTATCCCGCGGTCTCAGGTCTGAAAGAGGGCAGGGTCTGAGGACAGGAAGGTGAGGCTGCACAGGTAACTGGCAGCAGTGGCTGACACGTGGATGCCAGTGCTGGCACTAACAACAAGGCCAGCAGAGCCAGAACAGCATCTCGTCAGACGCGGCACAGCCTGACTGGCAGCTCCTGGATGCTGCGTGCAGCGTGGCAGGGCAGGAAAGAACATCCCTCAGCATTTCAACTGATCAAGTTTGACAAGGGCCCCAGTGAAAACAGATGCAGAACGCTGCACTGCCATTTTGATGGAATTGGTTGATTGAATTGAACAATGCTTTGTTCTTAAAAATAACCAGCAAGTAGTTTGTTGTAAGTGGTGTTACAACACAAGTCTTCAGGAGCCCTCATTACAGGGCCCCCCTGCACCCAGGCTTACTCTCTCTGCTGTCACTCAGAAGGGGAATACTGGAGAAACTGTGTTTGAAATCCAGTACAAAAATGTTCTGATGCTATCAGTTACACCATATACGTGAGGACTAGGGATGTTACATTTGGCCCCAAGATACTTTTTATGAACCTCGCTCTGACGTGTGCTTTTAACCTTTGTTTTCATTTCCATCTGAGCTTCTTTATGACTCTCCTGTTCTCTGTGCGTGTGCAGAGCGCTTGGCTGGGTTTCTGTCTGAGCCCCATGCAGGGTGTGTAAGCTCAGCCTGGCAGCCAGCTTCCAGCCTTCGCTTCAGCTCTTGCTCTGGCATCACGCCTGACTTGGGGAACCACTTTGCCCCACTGGGTCTAGACCCTGGCTCGTGATCCACACGGCCATGCTGCTGTGCCCGTGTCACTGCTAGTGATGACACTGGTGGGTCCCACAGTTGTTCCAGGGCTTTCAGAAGGGAACCCCATGGGAATTCAAATCTCCCGCACGCAGAATCCTTTGTGTGGTACAACAGGAAAGGAAGGGCTCCTCTGAAGTTGACCTATTTGTGCTTCGGTGCGTTTTTTCATAAAATAGACAAAATCCTGTTTTAATCTAGCCTGCTACAGAACTTTCTGAGGGAGTCTGTAGGTTTCTCTAAAATACCTTTGTGGTTATTGTTAATTAGAAAAAAATAATATTGCTCAAGGATCGCTTTTCAGTTGAACTTCCTGAACATATGGTTCAAACTGAAGCTGAAAAGGAAAACTTCAGGACAAACTGTATGAATTACTACTACTAATAAAAACAGACATTTTTTATAAGTCCACATTAATCTTCTTTAAAAGCTCTGGGCTGACCACATTTTTTAAATAAAACTTTTACCAGAGCGGAATGTATTAAGAGAGCTCAGCGTTGCCTCAGCTCTGCTCCACGGCGCATCGAGAGAGGCTTTATGACTGCCTTCAGTCACAGCAGACTTAGATCTGCACAGGATGGTTTTGATAAGCCCAATGTGAAGTTTTATTGGTTTAAGACATGAAAAACAGACATAACAGAGGCTGCTTCTGCTGTATAGCCACAGTCGTAACATCTATTGTGCATTGCACTGGGATCAGTGCTTCAGAGTGTAAGTGATGAGGAAAGGAAAGCCCAGGTAAGTTACAGAGCTCACAACAACAGTAGGCACAGAGCTTGGGCATGGTGCTTCTCTGCTGATCTCAAAGTAAAATAAAAATGAAATCCATGTCACGATGTCATATTCACAGATGGGGAAAGGGAAAATTAACCAGGCTAGAGAAAGAGGAAATTTGATGGTCTTTGTTGTTATGTCTATCTTTGTACTTGAAACTGTAACTTCTGTGACATTATTTGAAACACATTTTGAGGCCATATGCTTGCTGTTTGTCCTGGAGTGAGTTAGATTCAAAGCATCTTTCTCCTGTATGTATAAAACAGTGTTATAAAAACAGGAAACAATCTATAGCATTAAATGGTGTCACTCATCAGGTAGCTAAGCCCCACAAAGTGCCCCGAGCCTTTGGTGACCCACTGAGTTGTGGTTTCAGAGGACAGAGATGGTGGCAGTAGTGGTGGTGAGTTGTGCTGTGTGAGCATCCTTTCCATCTAGAGACAAATGACACTTTGTAGAGATAAAAATGTGCTTTTATTGCACCAGCATTAATGCCACAGCCCTTTGCTCTCATTTATGCTTAGGTCTTTTTATAGCACTCTTACATGGTGAAAAAAAGTGCAACTGGCTTGTAAAGGTAATTTTGACTTGCTTCGGGGTCTCTGTAGAATGGCAGAGCAGAGCATGGAGCTTTCTGGTTCTGTCCAGGCCAGATCATGAACTGCAGCTCTCTCTGCCAGCCTTCAGCAAGGAGCCTGATAAGCAGCGTGGGCAGTGCAGTTGTCAGCTTCACCTGTGGCCCCACTGGCTGAGGTGTCTCAGAGCTCTGAGAGAAGCCGTGCTCAGTCCAAGCATGGTGGCCTTATCCTGCTCCTTCAAAGCAAGTGCAGAGCTTGCACTGGCTTTTAGTGGTGCAGGATGCAGCCCTCAAAACCCCTGAAATCCTCTTTATAAAAGCAATTATGAACATAACTTCCTCCACTATTCTGTGCGTCATCCTTGAATTCCCTTTGAAAAATTATTTAAATTTTGTAATCCTAACCATATGGCTGAGCAGCCTGAAAGAAGGCATTTAGCAGACACATTTATCTGGAGAATTATGGCTTTACTGAGATTATCCAGTGACTATGGATGCACTGGGGGAGGGCAGGAGACCACAAGAGGGCCAGCCTCAGCAGAAGGACCTTCTAATCTGGATCTGTCCCTTTCCTGTTCAGACAGATCCTGGGCTGGAATAAACAGTTACTGAGCATGCATCATGATGATGTCTTGGAACATTTTTCCCCTTCATGGCCACACAGATTTACTTAAAAAACAATAAACAGATTAAAAAAAGGTTTACACATGGCTAGAAACTTACTTTTTGAATTGTTTAATATGTAACTTCCACTATTTTTTTTAACTTTTTTTTTTTTTTTTAAGAAAGCTTTTACAGGATTGCAAACCTGTAATTTGCCTTCTAGATCACTTCCCTTTTATTTTAGGCAAATGTTTCACATGGGAAGCAAATCTCTGAAACAGAATCAGACTTAAGGTCAGTGTCTTACTCTTGATTTTTACCAATATAACTACAATCAGAATTAATTTTATAGGATAGCTGGATTTTTGTGCAGTTGATTAAAAAGACAAGCTGTCTTCCCAGAAGTAAATTCATGCTTGAAGACTTCATGTCTGTTACATCTTGAGCTTTCACAGTTACAAACTGTGTGATTATTAGACTGCTGTTTTTTATAACACGTTTTTTTGCATAGCTGAATACAAATTGTGTGAGTTTCTGGTGCATTTTACCCATTCCATGAGTCTGTTGTAATTCAACAGTATCCTATATATCCTGTGAGATGATCTGTTACTTCTTGTCATCTTAAAGACTTCTTGGGTGTTTCAAAAGTGGCACCTTTTAGATGTGAAAGCAATGAGCAAACAAAAATACTGATTTGGGGGGGTGTGATATAAAGATGGGGCTTCTCCTGCTTCTAGTGAGAGCATCTGCATTAATTCTAGGGAGGAGGGCTTGGTCCTGGTTCTGACACAGGACTTGAGATTTCTGTAAAGAAGAGTGCTTTATTTAGAAACCTTTGTAAGCACTGCACTGTCAGTCCAGGAAACTTACCACAAAATAAATGTCCACAGTTGGTTTCTACTGGGAGAGTAGCTGTCTGGAGACAGATGGGGCAGCTGAAGTCACTGTGATGACTAGATTGCCAAATTTGGAGTGATTCCTGGAAAAGTAGCAGTACAGACTCATCAGTAAATGAGTATTTTGATTGACATATTCAGATAATTCAGATAATGAAAATTAGGCACAGAGAAACTAAGTGCTTTGTGCCACATTTCTGCTTCCAGTGATATATCCACACACCACTGGGCAACATTTATGTTTTGAAAGCCAGTTGACTTTGCAGAAGCTGTCATTAGTAGTCAGACAGCACCCAAAGTCTGCCTCAGTAGCGTTTGGATCTTCTTCATCCTCCTTTGTAGTCCTGTCTGTCACTTAAATGTACTGAAATAGGGACTGGTGTGTTCTCTGCCTGCCTTGGGTGGCAGAATGGTACCCCTGGGCTGTCCCATAGGCTAGGTAGCAAAAAGGCTCCTTTATTTACATAAATAAATTGCTTCCAAACCATCCTTCCCTTTGCTTAGCAAAGTCTATAATTAAGAATAATATTGTGCTTTGGTTTTGGAGCAGGAAGTTAAGAATGTTGTAAGCCTCTGAAATGCTAAAGAGACATTTTGAAATCCAAAGTCATATTTCTAGAGGCAGAAGGCTGAAGGGTGTGCATCAATCTTCCAGTCTTTGCTCCTAAATCACTGCCTGGTAGCAGTAAGTCTGTTTGGCAGGGTGTTCATCTGTGCCAGGATTGCTGGATAACAATCTCCAGTGGGAGATAAAAAACCTGTACTTGCTTGATACTGATTCCTTACCACACTGAAAGTTCTTGCTACCTTTATTGTGATGCATTAGATAAGGTGCAGTGGGTGATGGACCTGCCTGCTTCATCGTGGCACACCATGGGGAAACTTCCACCTGACCACACGTTCGACTGCCGTGAGCACAGTGAGCTCAGTCTTTGGAGAAAATGCAGCAGTAGCCTGGTGAGTGACCCTTCCTCCTTGAGATGAAGTTACTCCAACGTTCTGTCAGCCTCAGCACTAGAGGGGCACTCCTGAAACTGGCAGGGAGCGTCCAAGGAAGTTCCTTCACTGTAAGGCAGAGTCTTGGAGGTTGTTGACTGTCCTGCAGTGCCTGCACATGTTTAGCAAGGTTCAACAGGAGGTGGTGTCAATTACAGTTTTATTTTGTGCTTTCATCAAAACGTGATGCACTTCACACGTTCCTTGCTGACCCTGAGGTGCAGCATCATCTGGAGTGGGCTGTTTTTCCCCATTTCTGAAGTATAGTGTCCAGAGGAGATGCTGCCATCCTTTGGGATTACAGTGTTGGTATATGCTTGTGGTCCCTTGTTGCCCAATTTGGATTGTGTATTTGGTGTTCAAATACCTCATTGGCACCTGTCTACATGACAGATCAGTCAACACGGTTCCAAGTATTTGACCTATTTATAAAAGTTCTGACAAAGAGAATATTGAACAGCTTCTATCTTTGGCTTGTCAAATACTGGAAGATCCAGAGCAGCCGTGAAGATTCAAGCTCATTTGACACAAAGACTTTATTTAAGTAATTGATTTTTCTAATGTAGTAATTCCAAGAAATAAGAGAGTGGTCATCATGTAGGTCTGCCAGATGAAAGGAAACCAGGTCTCTTTGCCAGAGCCATGTTTAAAATTAAGAGCTCACCAAATTACTAGTTTTTCACCAAATTACTAGTTTTAAATCAGCACCTTTAATACCAGTCTTCCCTTCCTATGATGAGGATCTGTAACTAAGAACTGGGGTTTTTAAAACACTGTGCTGTAACTACTGGAAAAAAGTCTTTCAAATGTGTTTGTTTCTGATTCTCAACAGAAAACTTTCAGATGCCCAAGGCATTTACATTGTTTTCAGGTTTTCCTCTCCATGCGCTGATAAGATTATCTCCCACTGAGATAACAACCCCACAACAGCCCAACAAGCCTGGCCACAAACAGAACACAGCAGGGGTCAGGTTCAGCTCCACCACACTGGCAGGTGAGCTCCAGGCAAGCAGGTTCTAACTGTGCTGCCCCAGGTCCCACTAGCACGTCACCCCCCTGCCTTGTGACTTCCTTGCAGCACTGGTGGGATATCTGCAGATTTGGAAGAGTGTTATTTCAACTGATACAGGCTGTAATAGTTTTCTTCAGCTGAGGAACTGCCCCAGAGCAGTTGTGTTTATAAACATTGCACACATGACATAAGCTCATTAGGTATCTTTATTTTTGCAAAGTAATAAGCATTTCTTTGCAAAGCATTTCTTTAGCTTTGTCTCATACAACAAAGGGAACCGAGTGTGTTTCTGATTATGCAGCAGATGGGGAGCCAGGGGAAACCCAGCACTCCCAGACTGGAACCCATGGAAAGCCTGAGGAGCTCTCCTGCCCTCTGCAACCTGGAGAAGCTGAAACCACTCGTGCATTTCGTATCAGAATGCGTTAACTCGCTATATGGCTCCTAGGGGACAAATTATTATAGTTTTATTCCAGATGACTCATCTTTTGCTGACTTACATGTGCAAGTCTGCAGCAAGAGTTTGTGCTGTTCAGATAACAATGAAATTGAACGTTGCTGTGCTGCTGTATGATACTGGTTCTGGCTGCTGAGGTCAGCTGCCATGCAAAGGGCTACAGAACTCTTCAGCGGAGGGCATGTGCCTGTTCAGACCTTGAAAGTGCTCAAGCTCTGCTCTCAGAGCATTTGAGTTAGGGTTGGGACTATGAATTGGAGCAAAGATCCAGGCAACGATCCTGTACTAAGGACACTAGGTGAAAAGTATGTGTGTATATGAGGTGAAAAATCATTCAAACCCAGTACTATGAAACAGTGGGTTTATCTTCTTGTAATCTCTCTCTTATTGAACGCAGCAAAGTGGGAAACTTGACCAGCTCTTGCAGTATGACTAACAAACAGGTGTCAGATTCACAAGATAAAAAAAAAGGCATATGTTATTTACATATACAGTTAAGCAGTGAATGTTCTTATGGGTGCTAGAAATTTCTGAGTTCAACAGGTACTGGGCATCAAATACTATTAACTGCAAAGACAGTACCTCTGGGGAAGTTTTGGACCATAAATCACTAGTGAATGGAAGAGTGTTCTGGGGAAGCAGCAGCAATGTTTCTTCACTCTTCGGTAGGTATCTGTTGCTGCAGAGGGCAGGTTTCACCTGGTATAGCCATAATAGAGCATTTGGAGGGGGGGGAAAGAGATTTGGGGTCACCTTCAGCAGGGATGCCAGTGGCTTAGTCTTGTCTTGAGTAGATAGGCCAAGAAAACCATGCCAAATCTTTCATTTATTTTTAATAGAGTATGTGCACATAATCAAATTTCCAACAATTCCTGAGTCCAAGCACTCAAAATGGTGCTGGAGTTGGCTCTAGCCTGGCTATAAGGGACCGCCCAGCTGGATCTGATAGAAAGAGAAGACAGATGATATCTGACATAGCTATAGGGCTGCCAGAATCAATTTAACCTTTCCAAAATCTTGAGCCAGCCTTTGAACATTTGAAGTAGCAGAGTGGATTAGAGATTGAAGCAGTGATGATGGCAGTTAGTATTTTGTGTCATGAGGCTTCGAGTTTCTGATGCCATTAAACAGTCTTAACAAAATACAATATTTAGTGTGTCGTTGCCTAAAATGACAGATTTTTAGGGAGCTTACTCTCATACAGTAGCTCTACATGTAATTACTAACAGCACAATTAAATTTGTCATTCCTGTTAATTTTAGTCTGGAAACTTTGAGAGTGCCCATAAAAGCTACAATTTCATAGCCTTGTATTTGGATCTCAGTGCCTATCTCAGCTTTGGAAATCCGAGGCCTGGATAATGCCATACTGATACTTAAAGCAGCTTTGGTGAATGCAAAGGGGTCTGTGGAAGCATTTTCTAGGTAGCATACTGAAATCAGGCTCTTCTGCCAGAAACATCTCTGCTACAGGAGAACTGGGGCAAACTTCCACCTTTTCTCATCGGCAGCATCATGTTCTAGTGACTTGATTAGCGACAGTCAGATTAGGGAGTGCCACAAAGCTAGCACAGAAAATCAAGTTTGGAAGTTCCTTCAGGATTCATACTGCTCCCTGCGGTGAGGTTTGAAATGAGTCTGTTCCTGAGTGTAAGAGACAGAGGGAAGATGATGAATTCCTCATATTTTACAACCACAGAACTCCCATTGTGGTCTATGAAGGAAGAAAACCAAGTCAAGATTTTCCACACAATTTTCTTAATACTATTTTGAACACCTAATGTTAGCTTTTATCTAAGATTCATCTTTAAAAACCCTAAAATATTGGTGTTTCTAACCCATACGTTCTTGGGACTGTAAAATGTATAGTAGAAGTCAATTTACTTCATTTGGAGCAAATAACCAGCCAACCAAACCCCAAAGTTTAGAAGCAAATTATTCTAAAAACAGAATCCAGAGATGCAGAGAGCCTTGAGCTCTGCCACCTCAAATTTTAAGTGCCAGCTCTTCAAGCAGTGAGGGAGAATGAACACCCCTTGCCTCACACCAACACTTTCATGAGCTAGCAAGAAGACAGTCAGTTGAATGTACTGTTTTAGCACAAGGAAATTTCGGTTTAAAGCATGACTGATGAGTCCTTTCTCATCAGCATGTTTGAAGAGAAATGAAAGTTTAAGAAGCACTTAGCAGATTCAGGTGCTAACAAACTTCTAGTCATTTTTCCATGAACACGTGCCATGATTTAGAACTAAAATAAACCTTGCTTTGAGGTTTAAACTTGTTAGGAAGATGACCAGGGAGGGTACACTGGACAAGCTCGTTATTTGACAAGACATACATAACCTACTGAAAAGCAAATTAAAAACATGACATATTCTAAAGGGCACAGCTAATTCATGCACATTTTCCAGAAGAAATCTAATGAATAAAAGTATAAGTAAATACCTCAGTTATTTATTTATAATCATTCCAATGAACACTTCCTACCATGGTTCAGAAGACCTAGGTGAAGTTTGGCTTACCATTCCTCTTTCCAGAAGTGTCTGAGGAGCTGGGTGGGTTGTACCTGCAGGCAGCACTGGTGTGGAATCATTCATTACGGCTAGCTACATGTCTTTGTCAATCATTAACTTAGTTGCCCAGTGGCAAGGGTCTGTCAGGTTTTCTGAATTATGGCTATGAAAGAAACCTGGTGGGCTTTTTTTTACCCCCCTCAAATCTGATAAAAAAGCAGAGGACTCCTGAGAGGGGGAAAAAAAAAACAAACAAGCCAACAAACACAGAAAAAGTTTAGAAAGTCCCTTTCTAAAACATCTAAATAAATCTTCTCCCTCCCCAAAAGATGTGTAGCATAATTGAAAAGGTACCTGAACCTAATTTAAAAATTGCATGACTATTTTTAAATATTAACTTGATCAAGGGCACACTACAGGTTTTTTGGTCAGCTGATACAGTAGCAGCTTATCAGTACTGTTGTGAAACAGGCTTAAAACTTGCCAGACACTTGTGATATTTTGGAATTGCATAACTGCAGAATTAGATTGTGTCACACAATATTGTCCATTTATCAAATGGAGAAATTAAGCAGAAGGCCTAACAGAAATAACTACAGTTGATGGGCATATATACTTTACAGGGAATATATTTTTTTGTCATGCTCTATAGTCCTTAATAAAGGCTTGATTTCTGTAAAAACATTCTCCAGTTTTATGCAGCAAAATTATTAAGGAAACCTGTTAGGGGCTTGGGTTTGTGCAGGGTGAACCCCCCTGATCCCGATTCAACCAGGCACTGGAGCACATGCCTAATTCTCAGCCCTCAGGTAGCACATAACCTCTTCTGGAGAGGTGGAGTGGGAGTCAGTCTCACTGGAACAGAAACACACTTCGAACAGGAATGATGCCCCTGGCAGCGCTGCTGAAGCACTGATAAGCTAAACAAAGCACTTTTCAAAGAGTAAGAACCGGATGGGATTTGTAGCATAAACAATGCTCCTCGTTAGTCACTACTCCCCAGGGCATCTTCCTCACTTTGTTACGGAGAAATTGGCAACAAATGAAATGCTGTCTGTGGTTTCCTGCCCTGGGTATGCCTGCCTGCTCGCATGCCAGCGAGATAGCTGTCATTTATTATTTATCCAAGTGTGTATACGAATCTACAGTGTGATTTAATTACTTATTAAAGGCGCCAGACGGACAGATGCAGAAGCTGGAGCCGTTTCTCTACCCACGGAACTGACGAGGTGTAAGCAGCAGCATCCTCTCCAGGCTGTTCCAGTCAATGCTTTACCCTGGTGGACCCCCCAAATCTCTGAGCATAGCTCTTTCTCTCCCCCCTTTTCCCATCTACTCTGTTCAGCATGCTAAATTCATAAAGGGTGCTAAGAAAGATGTCTGTTGTTCCCGTGATTTTTAGACAGCAATATTTACACACTGGAAAATCAGTTTGAACACATTAAGTCTGTTTTAGCTAGGCCACTCGAGCATTTGATTGGTACTAACTCAGAAGAGGCTTTGAATGGTTTTAATACAGAAGTGAAACCCCCTCTAACTAAACAACAGCAAAAAGATGATGGACATTTTGTAAAGGTGAAGTGAGCCCAGAGGATTTCCTTCCACTTCCCGGGGCTGTATGCACAGTGCCACAGCTCCTCCACAGCCCCTTGGGCCCTTTCCTAACAGACATGCCGCTCCTGGAAACTGGATGCTGAATTCTGCATCATGTCAATGCACAGGATTTTGGTTCTGTTTTTTATGTCGCTCTAAACCTATTATGGCTCAGTTACCATTACAGCTCAGAGCACTTCCCCTGCCCCCGGGCACAGCTGGATGGAGGACAGCAGGGATCTGCAGTCTCCGTACACTTCCATCAGTGCCCAGGCTTTGGCTTTAATGGGGAACTGGGATTTTGTTAGGCTTAGCTAGCCGAATTGGGCCATACCTGTTTGCCAGAGAAAGACTGTAAAATAATAACAATGTTCCCTTCATGTGGCTCCAGAATATTTTGAGAAGGATGATGGACACAAGAAAATCTCCTAAACTGTGAATCTATATGTTAAATCAGTAAACTCATGATTGCTCAAGGCCATCCATTCCCAATGCCTTCCAAACTTTGGTTCCAGTACACAGGTGAGAGTTGCAGTCCTGGGTCCACTTGGTCTAATTGCAGGTTGGGCTTTTTTGGTGCTAAATCTTTGGTTGAGGCCTTAGAGGGCAACTGCAGTGCAAGTAACATTCCTGACCGATCATAGGGTTGTCACTTTGGCTTTGGAGTTTGAACTGGCAAACGCTTCTGTGCCTGAGTAATTTTGCATAGTCGAATAGTCCCATCAAAGCCAACAGGTCTGTTCATGTCATTATTGTGTTATTAATTCCCAATTTTACAAATAAAATTTCTTATTTTACTCCACAAGAGCCTACCTGACCAGAAATGGGACCTGAGAAGCCTGAAGATGGGACTGAGAAGTAGGAAGATGTGTAATAACCCTTCTTGGCAGTGTTCTGGAGCAGGGTTATGAACGGCACTTGCCACAAAGCAGGGGGGTTTGGCTGAGGTGGAGATGTGCGTTGTGTGCTCTCCACGTGTCCCAGCCATGACCTGATCCCATCCTGGGATGGAGGCTGCTGGGCACGTAGGCAGGCTCCTAAGAAGAGGTGAGCCATGGGACTACCATGAACCAGTTCCTCTGCAAGAGCAAAACGCGTCAGAGCAGCTGCCGGGGAAAAGCGTCAGGAGAGCAAGAGAGAAATCTCTTTAAATGGAAACGTAAGTGAATCAGACAGTCATAACTTATCTTAAAGAATGATCCAGTGAAAAATGTGATTCTGTTAGAAATGCCAGTAAAAGTAACGGTAACCTCCCTGGCACTGTTCAGAGTGAGCCATCTGTTAGAGGCTCGACCCCCCTGCTGTAGGAGTTGTGTTTCAAACTTTTAGGTAAATTGATGCTTATTTTCCAAAGAAGAAAAAGAAAAATGACACTGATATATAAAAATGGTGAGAAATCTGAACTCGGTGTTGACAGGTGCATGCTGACTGGGTGGTTTCATATGTAAATGTTGGGGTGAGTATGAGAACAATTCATCTCAGGCTTGACACACCAAGAGCTATCCTGCCCCTTCTAGCTGTGGCTGGATTTTAGACATTTCTGTGTTGTTTAACAGCAAGGGATAGCTATGTCATTTTCACCTAGTGTTTCTCTATTCAGACTTCTCTTTGATCAGAGAATACTATTCAAATACTCCATTTAAAGCATATATTTTAGTAATTTTTCACAGCACTTTAGAGATATTGAGAAAGAAATACTCTTTAATAACTTCGCTGTTAATTTTCCACTCAAAAATAATGAACAAGTTATTAACATTTTATTTAGTGAATCTTTTATATTGATGATAATGTTTCTGAATGAGTATCTATACCACTCTCTGAAAGACAGTGGTATGTAACAGGTAAAATGGATCCTAGAGTTATCAAAATCGTGCTGTGTTTAGAGAGATCAGAGATATTACCAGCAGTCCCCTGGCGCGTACCAGTACCCACGTACCAGTCCCCTGGCGTGGAGTCAGTCTAAAGGGATTACTTCTTTCTGGAAATGAAATCTGTGATTTCCCTGATCCTGAAAAAAACATGCTCATGAGCCTTCTCATGGAGTAATGCCAGGCTGAGGTGAAAACTGGAGGTATTTGGTGTGCAATATTGAATAAGTGCAAGGATATTCTCAGCGTCAGAGCCCACAAGCCAAATGGGCTTGCTGGGACACAGAGCCACGGGCCAAACCAGAGCCTTGGCATCACAGCACTGCCCAGCTTCTCCTACACTCCGGCAGGAACAGGACTGGGAAGTGTGAATGTGGATTTGTTTGTGACAAATACAGCTCTGCCACAGTTCAAATCCCAGTACTGAATCTTTTGTGTCGGGCACCAACTGAAATTGTATCTGAGGAATGTAATATAGGTGAACTCGCAAAGCCAGGAGCTGCTACCATGACAGTGCCAACAGTTCTGTGATGTCAGTGAATGTCAGCTAATGCTGGAATTGCCAAAGCCCACCTTCACTGGTGACCTTGTTCAGTCAAAAAAAAAGATAAGAGCACTAAAATAGCAGTGCAGATAGCTGTGAGAAAGCAAACAAAGCCCCAGAAATAGAAAATCACAGGTCTGAGATTGACAAATGTTAGGGAAACAACCGAGGTGGCAAGAGAGCACGCGAGGAGGGGAGGACAGTGACAAAGTGAAGTCTTGTGGAGGAAAAATGATGTTGTAGAGGTCCAAGTAATTTATCCTCCTTGAGTAGCTGTTCATAGGAGTTCCCAATTCAGAGATGTTTCACTGAGGTAATCTAGGTAGATCATTCCTTAAAGACATTAAAATTTATTCTCCTGCTGTGTGAAGCCAAAAGGTGCAATTACAAAGATCTGGTCACAGTCTCTTGCATAAACGTAGGCAGTGAGTCTTCTACCTGGGACCTGCTTTGTTCCCAGTGTAGCCTTTTATCAAGCTTAATGAGATCTCACGACTTCTGGCTCTCTGGCATTATTTCCATCTTTCCTCTATTCCCCCCCACCCCAGCCCTGCCAGGGGAATCACATTATACTAAAGCAGCAATAATCTGCCATTCTCTGCATTCATCTCTTCTGCTTCTTTAAGGAGTGACCAGGTGAGGCAGTCCTCATATAGTCTGCCTTGTCCCTTTTTTTATTGACCCTGCAAAGTGAATTTCCTTCCCCCAGGAGAATTTAGAGACTGCAGACTGGTCAGAAACGCTCACAGAGGTAGTTTAAAAAGATGCCCCATCTCTGCAGAGCCTGTAGCTCTGAAGGTTACTAAGGCAAGTAACAACAATTGCTTCAGTATGAGGCCAAGCAGCCCCTCTGTCCAGTCAGCTTCTTTCCCTTTCTTTTTCTAATAAGTTAAAAATCTCTCTATGGGAATCCTACTGGGTTTTATTTGTCTTACACTTGAGACAATTACACAGTAGGGTCCTATTGCAATTATTGCAGTATTCTCTGTAACTAGAAGGGATCTGCAGAGCTCATGTTGGCAATACTGTTAAAGGAACATCAGTTTCAGTTTATCAATACCTACTTTGCTGACATACCA